GAGGTAGCAAATACGGTTAGGCAATTAGTCTGTAATTTAATATATGTCGCCTATGCGCTTAGTCTGTTTTATACTGTAGCCTATAAACACGTCTTTTCTTGGCGGAAGTAACCATATTTTTTCGAGAATGTGTTTTTTCCCACCCACTTTCAAAATTCGGCGCCCCATTTTCATTTTTGCGCCCCCCAAGAATTGCCAGCTGGGGGGGCCGTGGCCCCCGGCCCCCCCTGCCAGCACGCCACTGGTAGCTGTAGTTATAGCGAACTACATTTTGCCTAAAAGTAGCCAAGTAGTTGACTACTTTTCAAACAGCAAATCGCTATTCGCTACTTTTAAAAATTGTTAACAACGTGACATAATAGCATGATATTGAGACACGGTTTGCTTAAAATCGATACTCAATAGTCAATTTGCACTCCTGAGCACTGTAGTGATGACAAACATGTTGCTTTGTGTTTACTGTTGCTACTCGTAAGTCGATTTGTTATAGATTACATTACAGTCTGAGTTAGTATAGATGCTCCAAATACAGTAAAACTAAAAAATATAGCGTAGCCAAATAGCGAAATAGTTCGCTACATTTTTTAAGCAGTAGCTGTAGTCAGTAGCGAACTACCTTTGTTCAAAAGTAGCAGTAGTTGTAGCTGACTACATATTTTTGAAGTAGCTGTAGTTATAGCGAACTACAAAAATTTTGTAGTCAACCCATCCTTGTTTGTACAGGGGTGGAAAAAATGGGCGAACACGCGAGCACTGCTAGCAGGAAATGTTAAACAGATGCTGGAAATTCGTTTGAATGAAGATTTGCTGTTGAAAATTTGAAGGAAACCTTAACACCCATGTCCCACTATGGGCGCAACAACATATGGTTGACAGACAATTTTCCTTGAATTTTAAACCATGGTCAGCTAGAACACTATATGTTTATGCACATGCAGATTTAGCACAAAAATACTCTGTTGGTCTGCAGGAAATTTTAGTCTCCAGGTTGTGCTCCCTGGAAGAGAATTCTTTTTTCCTGCCCTGAATTTGCATATCATCGATGCATAACCCGTTCAAATATGGCTTCTACAGTAACATTCTTTTAACATTCAAATATGGCTTCTACATAACAATTCTTTTTTCCTACCCTGAATTTGCATATCATCGATGCATAACCCGTTCAAATATGGCTTCTACAGTATACGCGAAGCTGTAGAACTCAAAATCTGAGAATACGATATAGGTAGTTTCTAATTTGCCTCAATTGCTGGTTACACAACAAAGTCTGTGGAAGTATTTAGTCGGTAATGTTTGCCTGGTTTAAGCTATTGCCTATTCTGCATTTTCGTTTCTTCCTAGTGGCAGTAGAATTGGCCTATGCTAAATTCAGGCAAATTACGATCCATTTCTCACAATGATTTTGAATTTAGATGTTGTCAAAATGACTTTCCTACTTCGACCAAGCTATGCACAGCCGAACTGGACGTGTGGACCTTGTCTGGCTATAATTGAATAGACCTGAATTGGCTGTATGTTGTGTCAAAATTCATGAACATTTGGACGTTTAAAAGCATTGCCAAATAATTATGGATAATAGCCGCTTTTATAAAACCGTATTGGTTCGATGGTTAACGCACAAAATTGGCACATCTACAAGAGGATTCAAGGTAAATAATTATTGAAGTGTTTCTTATTTTTGTGGACGCGTGACTCGCTCAAATATTGAAGACTAAAAAGCAATGTCAACAGTCGTATGTCGATACAATATGTAAATCAATCTGTGAGTCACTATCTTGATCATTTTCCGATTTGTCAGGAGGCAAATGGTGTCTCCAAAGAAAGTACATGTGCAGACGACATGAAACTTTAGACTGCAGAAAATTGCACAAGCAGTTATCAAACTCATGTCACAGAAGTGGTAAAGGACATGTGTGACAACTGAATGGTATCTTTTTGTAAAGTTTTTGGCCAGGGGTGGGTATTTATTTTCTAATTGATATTTGAGGTTGGGTAAATATTTTTTGACTTTTTAATGGTTGGATCAACAAAATTTTTACCAAGAAAAACATTTCTCTTCGGTGTCACCCACCACAATAAATACGGGCGCTCGGTTTTTTCTCCACACAGTATATAACTGATTGATAACTTACTATCATGACTAAGATGGCTGGACCACTGAATGTCCAAATGGTTGCCTTATCTGTAGACAGCCAGCAGCTAAAAAGATACGAAGTATCCTGGTCATACTTGATAAGCAATCAATTGATAAGTAAGCAAACAAACAAGCAAACAAGCAAGCAAGCAAGCAAACAAACAAACAAACAAACAAACAAAGCAAAGCAAAGCAAAGCAAAGCAAAGCAAAGCAAAGCAAAGCAAAGCAAAGCAAAGCAAAGCAAAGCAAAGCAAAGCAAAGCAAAGCAAAGCAAAGCAAAGCAAAGCAAAGCAAAGCAAAGCAAAGCAAAGCAAAGCAAAGCAAAGCAAAGCAAAGCAAAGCAAGCAAACAAACAAGCGATTCAAATCACAGGCAAACCTTGTTTTTGTTCCGTAACCATCTCGTAATAAGTTGACAGAAAGCAAGACAATAAGTAATGGTAGACCTGAAATTAGTTAATAAAATTGAAACACATTACATTAAATTGCAGACTAAACTTTGTCAAATTTTTTTTGCCCTCCCATACAGACGAACAAATTTTGTACTTCGCCAATTTTTCCTGTGACAAATACACTCTACACGCGCGTAAAAATCTCACACCTTGTCAACGAGATGTGTTCGCATTGCTTGTTCCCAGTTGTTGACAAGTCTGGAACAAGTTGTTATCATCTTGTAACAAGGTTGACGAGGCCAACGGACTCGCAACAAGTTGTTCCAACAAGTCTGATATCGTCTGCACGTAACAAGTTGATGACAACAAGCTCGTGGCAACTTGTTACGAACAGCCTGTGTTAGTCTTGTTGGAACAACTTGTAGCAAGTCTGTTACTCGTCATCAACCTTGTACCAAGGTGATAACAACTTGTTCCAGACTTGTCACAACAACTGGGAACAAGCAGTACGAACACATCCTGATATCGACTTGACAACAACCTTGTTACGACTCGTTTGCAGATCTGTAAAAACGCACAAGTTGTAACAAACCTGCAGCAGACTTGTAGCAGTGCTGTTCCAACAACTTAGAATGTTAGGGTTTGTAATCCAAGTGATTATATTACAAGCTTGCTACAAGCCTGTTGCGAACACATCTTGTTGACAAGTTGTAAGATTCTTACGTGTGCAGCAATGCAGTTTCAACAACTTGTGTAGGTTGTCTTTTCAGACATGCAAATAAAACGTGTTCCTAGCCAATCAAGTTAAACACAGTTTTCGTAATGATACTAGAGATTTTACGATTTTAGGATGGCAACGCGACGACGACGGCCAAAACAAACTCCTTCAAATAAATGGTAGTAAAGATAGTTCGTCGTATATTCTCAATCGTATGAATTTAATACAGTTTTAGAAGTTGAAGACATGGGTTTTATGGTTGGGAAGAGTTCTCCTGAACCCAGTTTGAAGTTGCACTTGTTGCGGCTTGAAATGCAGCCGTTGTATCAAGACGTGAAAATCTGTGATTTGGCGTCGTAAACAGAGCGAGGACAATGTCTAAATTATTCATACATTGTAATTTTTCAATTCTTTTCAATGATCTATTGTATTGGTAGCCGTTGCCGTCCTAAAATCGTAAGGTCTCTACTTACCCCAACAAAACGCGACGTAATATCGTTTCTTTGGCAAGTGGTCATGAAAAACTTTCACAATCAAAATATGCAGGAAGAGTCCCTCGATTAACATCCATGAGAAAGCCACAAGTAGGAAATAATGAAGTAAAGCAGCCACCATAGTACATATCACCTAGAACAAGGTATATTGCACTATTTTGGCCATTTCTTTGATCATAGCTTACTTTCCATACAAATATTCCACAATCTTAATACGACAAAACTTGCCATGTCAATAGTCATATGTCAATACAATATGTAAATCAATCAGAGTCGCTATCTTGATCGTTTTCCGATTTGTCAGGAGGCAAATGGTGTCTCCAAAGAAAGTACATGTGCAGACAATATGAAACTTTAGACTGCAGAAAATTTCACAAGCAGTTATCAAACTCATGTCACAGAAGTGGTAAAGGACATGTATGACAACTGAATGGTATCCTTTTGTAAAGTTTTTGGCCAGGGGTGGGTATTTATTTTTTGATTGATATTTGAGGTTGGGTAAAAAATTTTTTTGACTTTTTAATGGTTAGATCGGCAAAATTTTTACCAAGAAAGACATTTCTTTTTGTTTATTTGTCCCAACTCCGCCTTCAAAAACTCATTAATAATTTATGACGAAAACACAAAGAAAAATCATAAGCGTGTGGTATCTTTATATGTGATAGAGATTTCCCTTGATTTACATAAACTTTAACTTTGATTTTCTCGACTTACACAACGTATTTTTTGAAAATTATATTACTTCGCCAATGAACTTACTTATCGTTTTTGAAGCAATGTAAAACATTCGCAGTGCGTGTTTTATCAGACCTAAATATACTCGGCTTCGCCTCGTATCTTTATATCTGATAAAACACTGCTGTTCATGTTTTAAATACAGTACGTAAATAATGACCGCTCCGTAATGCTGAAATTTCATCAGTGCTAACCTCGTATCCCGTTTCGTCAATGCCAGCAAGGAATGTGACTTGAGCCAGACCAATTGCCACGGCTAAATTGACGTGGATGAAATTCCGGTCTGATCTTGCACCACTAAATCAAAGAATACAAAACACAATCTTCAGTTGGACTTGGCAAACGCCAGAGAAATGGTTGCAGAGTATCAAAAACTCGTTCCTTTAGCCTGATTTCCATATGGTCGTAACGCGGTCGTAAAGATTGAGTCACGATCTTTCTCATCAGCCGAAATACAACATTTTAGAACTGAAAATACGCGGAGTGATTCTAACTGGAGAATACTTATGATTTATATGTGGTTTACAGGTATAAACTATTATAAACTGACCGTTGAGAAAGATCGTGACTCTATTTTTACCACCATTACG